ACAAAACAGCCTGGTTTACCAAAGGGATAAACATTTTAAAATTTTTTGTTTCATGGTATTGTTTTAATAGCTTGAACTTCTTAAAATTTGATCGAGCTTTAGCTTAACAACATAGAGATGTATAAAACAAATTGACCACAATATATTGTAGATGTATGTTTTAATTCTGAAAGAATGTATAAAGACTACCACCTGCTCAAAATAGTCGGTAATAGTTGGTAGGGGAATCAACTTTTCAATACTTCGACACAAGAAAGAGTTAAAAAACAGAGTTACAGAGTGAACATTAAAATATTTATTTTGTAAAATATTTAAAATAAAACAAACTACAGTAAATAATACAGGCAGTACCTTAAAGTACTTCACTTTAAAACATCGTAGCGTCAAATAAAAGTGATAAAGCGTCATGTTAAATAATTAAAAAACATTTTTTTGTTTTTTTTCTTAACCTCCCATCTGTTTTAGTTTTACATAGACTTTCAAGTTGTAAAATGCATTGCTACACCATAATAAAAAAGTGCACACATGATATTGAATACAGACTTTAGTGTTGACACATTGTACATAAATAAAAAGACACCTTAACTTTTTTTTTTTTTTTTTAATTAGAAACGTTACCTTTTTTCCTTTACAGTCACTTTTTTGGCCAGACAACATTTTTTGGCACTGTACCATTGTGATATTTTAACATACTGTGGTTTTTGATAATAGTGAATGCTCGTGGGGTTTTTTTAAGGTGACACTTGGAAAAAATTATCGTTATTATCATTTGATCCCCATTGAAACAAATGGCCAATAAATAAAACTCAAGGGGTCGCCTTTGTTCGAAGTCCACTTGTAACAGTTGGTCTGTAAACAGATTATGACACTGGAATGACGTACCTTTGCAGCTCAGCCTTAAAAACAACAACCAACTTTCAAAAGACAGAATTATTTACACTATCAGAATAAATAAATAATCGCAATTTTGGTAGTGTTTCGTGAACCTGTAGGGTGTGTTTTAGTGTGTCAGGGTTGTCTTCAAATGTCGAACTTGCGAAGACTGATTCTGCTGAAGGAATCTCTGCAGAGAGAAAAGAAGCAAAAAGAACAAAATGTTGGCAAAAAGTAACTGATCTAAATTGTTTTATTTGACAACAAACAAATTTGGCTTCATCTAATTCATGAAAAATACCTACATTATGAGGCTCTGAACACTCAAAAACACAGATGTTCCCTTTAACAGTTAATGTCTTTTCCAGAAAAAAAAAACACTTTTCAGAAGTACATGTTGTGGAGAACTGGTATAGGATGCAATGTAAGAAGTAACTTATATTAGGGTCTTTGGGGCTTGTTCTCGTTTCAGTTGTTAGTGAATAGCTCTCCAAGATTTAGTCAAAAAGTTGCTGCTGTCTGTAAGTTGCATCTGTTTTTTGAAACATTTATTCAAAGAATCCAACAACTGTTTAATCTTAAACTATTCAGTTACACATTAGCCTCAAGAACATAAGGCTAAATATAGTAACATATGAACTAACAAGTTCCTGATATACTGATTATTCTGCATCACTGAATCCTGTCATGTTCAGTCTCTTCTGTCCTCAGACTAAGATCCAATTAGTCTTTAGTTGTTTTTTTAATGATTGCATTTTCTTTGTGATTTCTGTCGAAGTCTTTATGGACGTTAGAAAGGTTTATTTGCTTTTACATCTTTATGGTTTAGTTTTTATATAATAATTCAGAGGATCCCTTTTCTGTTCTATTGGGAGAGACAGGATCACTCGCTTATACCTTTAAAAAATTGTAATAAGTGAGTGGGGACCTAGTTTCTACCATAAACATCACTCCATGCAGCGTTTTCTTTGGTAAACATATGCAGCTAAAGTGTGGTTTCCAAGCTGATCACTTAATTTGTATTTACAACATGCAGGCTGTGATTGTTTTCAGTGCAACACTAGTCGTACAGAGAGGGTGTATATTTGTACTCTAGTACCACAGTAACAATATGGTTTAAGCAAAGTGGCTGTAAGCTATGTTAACATGTCACTATGTTATTGTTGTTTAATCCTTTGTACTTGGTGGTGCAAGACTACCTCACCAACATAGTATTATCCATCCCAGTTGACTTAATTGACTCCTTGTGTCCATGTTGACATAGCCACACCACAAACAAAAACAACTCTGTAGTTACCTTGTCAAGCCGTCCGTTTGCTGCATGATTTTACAGAGGCAAAAACAAAGACTTGATTTTTATTTACTTCCCACAAACACATGACCTTTAACCTTAGACTGTCTGATAGAAAGAAATTCGTTAGTTCTGTCCTACCTGTGTGAGTTGACCTGCAGTACAGGTTTATAAAGCTGAGGGATCTTTCTGTTGATGAGGGGCTGCAGCGCCTCCTTCAGTCGGTGGTAGTTCCTTTCCAGCTCTCTCTGGTACTCCTTCTGGTCCGGCCCAATCAGGCTCTTGTTTTTGCGAAGGGCGTCTTCGCACCTTTGGTTGAAATGGAAGTGAGAAACATTGTAGTGAAGGTGTTTTTACGTCTTTACTGAACATTGGTACACGTTTGTTCAGGTAATGATTCACAGTCTGTACCTCTTGGTGAAGTCTTTGAAGCAGAGCCGTAGTTTATTGTGATGTCTGTACAGTTTAGGGTCACTGGGGATTTCTGAGAGGAAAACTTGAGCCACCTCTAAGGGACCCTGTGGACAAAAAGGAAAAATTATTACCCATCTAGAGATTTTTTCCCCTCATGTGTAGACTTTGAAATATATGGCTTTTGTAATTCAGACCAGTATCTCAAGACCTCACCTGGTTGACAGTAGTACCAACTGATCCCTGAAGGACCATCTGTAACATCTTAGCATCAGCAGGGTCCTGATGGGTGGCAAAAGCCAGTTCTTGGGTTTTCTTCTGCATGTCCTCTATCGCAACCTCGATGGGCGTGGAAATGATCTAGAATATACCAGTCATTAGTAACCAGAGAAACTAGGCACCAGGTTTGGACATGGAGCTGGTTTCATTTTATTATAAATTAGTACTGTTATTACATTGATTTAGTCTGAAGGTCTTTGACTAAATTGTAACTTAGTCCTCTTATTGTGAATAGACAAATTTTAGTTACACTTTAGTCAATTAGTTAAGTCATCAAAATGATGTAAGTCAACTAAATCTTAATTGGATTTAGTCAATTTCAATGTGTAATATATTCACGATTATAGTTGATTTTTTAACTGCTAAGTTGAGTTACCACTGCCATGAACTACTAAGTCACTGACCTCTTCTTTGTGGATGATGTTGATCCGTGTCTTGATGTAAGGAAAGGCGTGCGAGGTGGTGAGAATAGTCTTTCTCTTGAACTGTTCGTGCAGATCTCCGTGTGCCCGGCCATCCAGTGTGAAGGGTGTGCAGTAAACAAAGCGACGCAGGTTGTAGTTTTTGTCAAAGTATGTGATGCGGTCCTTCATCTCGTACGTGTCGAAATAGGGTTCCACGTAGGTTATCTGGATGAACGCCTGCTGGGAAAAGTAAATATGTTTGACACTGCAAGTTGAGACTGAGCCAATGAAAGAGACCACATTGCCTGATACCCACCTTATTAGGATCCAGCTTACACTTGTCCACGGGGTTGGAGTCCTTAATGACTTCAACCTGGTCTTCTCCAAAACGCTCCCCATAGAAACCCTGAGAGAAAAATTGAATATTCAGACAATTTTGGTAAAATATTTTTTTTTATAAAAAGTTTAAAATGATGGCAGTGTGACCTAATTTCAACATTTTGTTAACAAGAATTTACTAAGGAAATCCAAAGTGAATTTTATTTTCATAACCCATGGTCATTTTACCTCCAGCCTGTGAGAGATTTCCGCCAGCTTCGTGATTGCAGGCTCTTTGTAGACAAACTCTTGCTCGTCCAGGTCGCCAAATTTCGAACCATAAAATCCAACTCTGAAGTACGTACCAAACATCCTCTTTCCATCCTGTCAGCAGAGGAAATAAAATGGTTACTGAAATTTGAATTAAAACCAAAATTATTAATTATAATTAATTATTTTGCACTTTGCACTAATAAGGTGGTATGTTAATATTTAACAGTGGAGTTTCCTGCTGTGAATGATACATTTGCTTTATGTTATCAGTGGATAAAGCAAAGCTTTTCTTCAAGACTGAAAAAACAACAGTGACGTTGAATTTTAAAACTGTGGTCGTGGAGCCTCAAGTAGAAACTGAAACCAACATAACAAACTTGTAAAGAATGTCACAGAGCAGTCTATCTCCACCATTTGTACGCATACCATTGGTGGAGATATACAGTACATACCATTGATGGAACTAGGGCTCCCCCTAGTGCTGAAATAAGGCAACTTGACTTTTTTAATTATTTTGGCAATACTTGTGGATATGGCTTCAGAAGATGTGTAACAGTGCTGCTGCTGTTTGTTGAACTGTGACTTTGGCTGATTATTATGGTTAAAAATCTTATTGGGAATAATTCTTTTCTTTTTGTGTACTGCTGTATTTTATCGTTGGTCATACTTCTGGTACTCTGAGAGCCAGATATTTTTGCAGTTGATACAATGTATACAAAACTTTGAGAACCAACCGGCATGGAGAGAGGAGAGCAGCCTAGAACAGCTTCATAAAGATTAGTGTCTAGAGATGTATGAAATATTGTGCATTCAAAAAACAAAAGACAATTTTAAAGTGTGAGAAAAACAAAAACAACCATTAAAACAAAAGACAATTTTAAAGTGTGAGGAAAAAACAAAAAACAAAAACAACCATCCATATTAAAATTTCAGCTGCTTTAGCCATGACCCAAGTAGAAAAAAAGCCAGAACAGGGAAGTCTATGCAGAATAAAGTGAATTCCATCCTAAACTCAATAACCCTCCTACTGGTAACAGGCAAATATGTCAGCTGTACAGGAACTTGGTAAACCTGTACATACAGAGCCGTACACTGACATGACACTCTAGAGCTAGCATGCTAATGTCGTAAGAAAACATGAAGCAGAATCAACATTTCTAGTTCAGGACATGTGTCTGTCCTGGAGGGAAATTGAAAGAATGAAGCAAACGGCCGATATGATTTGGAATAAAAACAGATAAGCAGTTAAATGATTTTTTTTTAAGAGATAAAAGATAAATGTAAAAGTAACTACAAATGCTTAAAGGAATATAACGCGTAGAGAGCAGTTGAAGAAGCTCCTAAAACTAAGGAACTTACCACAAGACACAATTAAGTAAAGTGGGAGGGGTCGGCAACCGGGGAAATCAAAAAGGAGAAAACACAACAGATTTTAATCAGGGTTGTATTCTTTCAGAGTATTCTTAGAAACAAAATACAAGCAAACAACAGCAGAATTATTTTAGTTGAAATTCTAATAAATAAATAAATATAAACATTTTGGGGCAGTAACTGAACCATGCAGAGGCAGGCAGTTATGGAGAAAATGAAAAAGGAAAACGTCACAGACTCGTAGTGCACTTCAATGCAAAATCAAATAATGCAAAACCAAATAAAAAGTGCTCTCTCCAAATCATGCAACAAAACACAAGTGTCTGGTGTTAATACTGTTAAAAAAAGAAAGGAAAAACAGAATGGATGAAAAAAAATCAGGGGTCGATTTAGTCTGAGCTAATGAGAAGATGGAAAGGAGGCGTGAAGTAATCAAATCAAAAAGATTTACAAAAAACAAAAATCACGTAATTCTGCGATTACGGACTCCGGGTTTGATCGAGCCAATCTGACTTTACAGCACCACCTTGTGGCTCCACAGGTGTGTGTGAACAGAGTGACAGGGAGACTAGAGGACACTTTAGAAACAGCACTGAAATCGAACCCTGTGGTTGAGGACGAGTTGGACCTTGACAGCGGGCAGAGCCGGTTGATGAGTGTGTTCTGGTGGAGGCACCAGAAGAAAGATGGGGGATTAGGGTGGGTGACGGGGGGCGGGTGTGGTTTGTGCGAGTGATGCATTCACGGAGGTGTTTGTCGTTAGTGTCGCGTGCTGTGGCTCCCATGCAGTGTCAACACTGTGATTGGTTTAAAAAGAAACCAAGCTCCTGTTGTTGTTCAGTGAGAGGAAGATAGGTGTCGCTGCTGAGACAGCAGGCAGACAAAATATATTGTCTGCAGGTGTTAATGGACTGGATGTGTGAGTGGAGAGAGGGACAGAACGTCCACGGTTGGTGAACAGGTGATGAGAATAAGAAAATAAAAATTTGAATCGAAAATAAAATTAAAAAAAAAAGTGGTGAGCATGGCCAAGCAGGAACCGTGAGACCACCTACCTCCCAGCCAGTACTCTGTGTGACAAAGAGAACACAGGACATGTAAACACACCGCAACACAAAAGTCACACACTCGGCGTAACTCCAAGCAGAATAGATTTTGTTTTTTAATCTGAAGAGAACGAATCTGGAGGTTTGAAGAAATCAGACGGAGACAAACAGTGGACGTAACCATAGAGCTGTTGTGGACTGTAGATCGGAGGTTCTCAAATAGTGGGATGCAGAAATATAAATGACCATTGATGTGTTTTTTTTTTTATACTTTTATACTTTTCTATACTAAAATCTAGAGCGGTCACGACGGAATCACTCAGCAGTCAGACTCTCCACTTAAAACATTTTGTTTTGCTTGTTTGAGAACTGCAGCTTCACAGATTTAGTTCGAAGTAAAAGAACAAATGACACGCTGTGTGTGTGTTTACCTGATGAACAATTTTCCCAAAGGCTTCCTGTAGTTTACCGTGAATGGTGGCCAGCTTTTTAGCATCCCTGTTGGCTTCGTGGATAGGGATCAGTACCTTGTAAACCTCGTTCACTGCCTCGTACATGCCGGCCTGGATCAGAGAACAGGAGGAATGTTGCTGTGAATTCTCTACGACGTCTCGACAACAAACAAATGGATTCAAAGCGCATTCATTACAGTGAACGTTTTCTACTCCTCACCATGGAGAAGGAGGCAGCAGCCTGTTCTAACAGCCCCACCAGACCGATCTCTGTGAAGTATTTGCCGGAACAAATGCCCTCCTCGTCTGGAGACACTACGTCGTCTGACACTGCTGATTCCTCGAGGACGTTTGAGGAAATGTTCTGAAAGTCAAAAATCAAACGGTGAACAAGTCAAGTACAGACTTCAGCTGATGTTTCTTAGCTGCGGACGTGACGTTCAGTAGAGTTAAAATGTCTCTACCTGGAAGGTGACGCAGCCCACGGGGAGATATTTGCGATCCTCCAACATGCTCAGATATTCTGCCACCAGAGCAGCGCTGTGAACAAGACACTGAGCAGCCTCCGCGTGGTTGTTCCTCTCCGAATGTTTTCCTGCCATGTTCTGGAGCCACGTCAGCCTCAGGTCTGGAGACGTCTGGTAACCTTTAGCAATTCTGGAAGTGAAGACCGCGATGAAGCAGAAACACAGAGATGTGAACAGTGGAAGGAAAAATCATTGAAACATACTGGCCTGGACTGGAAGGAACTGTTTTGTACCTGTACATGAGATCAATCAGCATCTCTGGATCTTCCTGGTGCTCCTTCATCTTCACTGTGTCTGACAGGATCATGTGCAGGTTGAAGACCAGGTCCTGGACCTGAAGGGACGATGAGAAAACATTTTCAGCTCACAAACCAATCAACAGTGCTAAGGTGACACTTAATTGGCTCTACATGTTACACCTTTACCAGTTTGCCAGTTTAACTCAGACAGTACCTGGTCTGGAAACGTGGTCTCTCTCAGCTCCAGGTCTTCCTCTGCGTACGTGAGGATGGTCTTCAGTGAGCGGCGCAGGAACTCCTCGTTAAAGTTCTGAGAAGTTCCCACCAGTGAGGACAGAGACATGGTGACCTGCATCTTCACTCTGGCAAAATTCTGGACGACAAAGAGAGACGATTGTGACAAAGTGCCAAAAACAAAAAAAGTGGAACACAAATAGTAAAGAGCAAAAATTATTTAAAAATTCTTGATTTCAACCATGTGACTGACTGTAGAATATTTGAAATAATGAAACAATTCCAAATAATTATTTTTCCTAAGAAATCCTGTGAAAGTTAATTAGAAGTAAATCCTCTGATTGGCTGCATCAGACAGTGAACTTTTAGCTATTGAACTTACCCTTGATGAACCTTGGTCGCAGTATTTGAGTGTGTATTGTGAATTTGAGTACTCACATTGCCGATCTCGAAGTTTTGTCTCATGAGGAGATAGAGGGAAGCGCTGGCGTGGGCCCTGATGGTACTAATGCTGCTGCTGCAGCTCCTCAGTAGCCTTAAGCACAGATCAGCACACTGTTCTGTCTCCTCCTCGAACAATAGTTCTGGGAACTTCACAAGCCGAGATAAATACACACATTTAAAATCCAGCATAAATAAAAAAAAGAAAAGAAGAAGCAGAATAATGGAGCAGTTCAGTTGACAAACCTTTGACACCAGCGCCCTCTGAGTGGCAAAACAGTGTTGCAGGTAGAGAGCGCTCTGGTTACAGGCCATGCTGTGGAGAAGTACCTTCAGTACTCCACCCAGGACACTCTCCTTGGACTCGGTCAGAGACACAGTCTGCGAAGAGGAGCAACACGAAAGCATGTCAGGTACGACTCTGTTCATTTTCTCTGATTAACTCTTTGTCTTCACTCTCATACCTGGACAATGATCTCCAAAGTATCAAGGATTATTAGGTTGGCCTCTGTTGCTAGGTTACCATCAATAAGTGCCTCATGCTCCAGCTCTGCTCTGGTCCTGTAATTATGAGAACAGAGGATTCTGTGAAAAATGACATTGAATCCAAAACCCTGGCGACAGGTGGGCTGAGACTCCACTGCAGAGAGCAAATCTAAAATATATTTTATTTCACTGACTGTGGTGTGTTTATACCATCAGTCAGGTTACATTCAGCGACCAGACGCTGCCATTTTGAATACTGGAAATCTACTTGCTGCAAATTCAAATTGGTTCTAAACGGTTGGTGCATGTGGAGCAAGACGCCAACGCCATATGTGTTTATATGTGTGTGAGAGAAGGAGAGATATATGTGAGTGTGTGGAGGGCCGTGTTTTTATTTGTGACGTTTATTTGTCACAAATCAAACCAGGTGTAAAACACAAACACATATCCACCTGCTCTGACAATATACAGAAAATTAGCATACATAGGAATGTTGGTTTATGTTGATTAATCCAGATTAATTAGAATTGTGATTATGATTATGACTGTTTGGTGTCTCTTACCTCCATGTAATGTGTTTTTCAAACTAACACTGTGTGTAATGTGACAGTAATGTGTCTGTTGTGCAACCAGAAAGACCCACAATCCCAACACATGAAGCAGACTTGTTAAAAAGCAAAAACAGATCCACTGCAATCAAGAACCAACCCCGCGACAGACACTGTTACCATGGCAGACAGACTGATGGGGTAAAGGAGGTGGGGCAGAATGAAGGGGCGTCTCTATGTTGGTAAGTACGTATATGCATGTGTAAACTCAAATGGTAAAAATGGACAAAAACCTTTCATTCAGGAAAGAATTGGTGACATCAACAAATACACGTAATACTGCTTGAACAAGTCAAAATAACAGTAATGCATGAGTATTTGTCTTTTTGTTTTGAAATACTTTTTGTCCATTTTAACCGTCTCCACAGATGCATGAATACACCATGAGTGAACAAACTTGAACAGGGAGGGAATTCAGAGTAGCACACAACAAATGTGGACCATACAGTACCTGACTGATCTCTGACTCCTACATTAACACACAGCAACATGGAAGAACAAATGGAAATTGACGGAAATTAAACTGTGGAAGTGAATAGGGAGGAAGGATAATTTTTGAGAAACTTTTTTTCCCCCGGAGATTTGTTCAGGAACTTATTGGTATAGTAATTTACTGTGATCAAAAGATGACGTTCCAAAAAAGTGTATTTTTTTTCTGGTTTTTAACCACAAAAATGGACATAGCTAAGTATTTTAAGGCAAATGAGAGTATTTTTAGTCATTTTTGAGAAACTGTTATTTCGGAGATTTGCTCATGAACTTATTGGTATAGTATTTTCTGTGATCAAAAGTTTTTGTGCCAAAAAAGTATATTATTTCTGAACTTTAACCACAAAAATGGACATAGCTAAGTATTTTAAGGCAAATTGGTGTATTTTTAGTAATTTTTTAGTTTTTATTTTCAAACTTTTGAACTTTTATTTTGAAGATTTGTTCAACAAAAGAAAACAAAAAATGAGGCGGGTGAGAGATGACTGTGAGCTACCTTTAAAGGTGGACCAATGCAGAGCCAAATAATCGAAACAAACATTTGAAGTTTTTTCTGCTTAAAATCCAAACAGTTTTTTTTAAAAAAACAAAAAAAACCTACTTGTCCATCCTCTCACTGTTTTGTCTCCAGTGAGTCATGTCCTTCCTCCAGCGAAGGTTCTCCTGACTCCCAAAAGCACTGCCTGATGGACTCCGTTCTAAATGTTTGAGAAACACTTATTTTTACAGTGTGAAAGACATTTTGCAAGTATAATTTTACATTTTGGTACATACTTTTAATCTGAACAAATTATGCACCTATCTTGAGTTTTTAGGCAGTTTTTATTTTTTTCACACATATTTGCAAAAGTCAATTTTTTGGGGATTTGAAATAAATCATATGTTTAAGAAACATGCATACAGAAATATGCATTGTGCATTGTGAGTCCAAAACAAATAAGTTATTTTATTTTGTTATTAAAACTAAAGGTATATGTATACATATATATTAGTTGTATATATGGTTATTAGACTATGGGAAACCACAACAATTGAGCTCTTCTATCTTTCATAAATGTACATTTGAACTGAGCATACTCTTACCAAGCTGTCCACGGCTACGACGCACCATCTCTTGTCTGGCTCCGATGCTACCCAATATGGCCTCTTCCAGCTTAGCTTTCATGTCTTTGGACTTCTTAAAGGTCAAACTGTTCATTCTTTCAAAGGCTTTCTTTCCCTGCATGGTGAACACAACATGGGCCTTGTATCCATGAGGCAGAGGGAGAGCAGACAGAGAACGCACAGCGAGAGAGGTTATTCGTAGCACAAGCACCACCACACAGCAAAGCAGGTTAGAAGCAGAAGAGAAACCATGCAAGCATTTGAAAGGGAGCAGCACAGCAAGGACAGCTTAAATAAAAATTGAATATAGCAGAAAATTAACAAGAACATTTTGGCTAATTTCATATGATCCAAAAATCATATCTCATTTTTTAAGCCTTAATTACCATAAATGACATATACAGTATATCTTTTTTCCTATAAAAACTGATAAATTACATTTAGCAGACAAAAGGTTTATGTTTTAAATTATTAAATTAAATCCTAAACGGCTATTTTATATCAAAACCCTCCCTATGGTCTCTCTCACTCTATACACAAAATCTAACACTCCATACTTACACCCTTTATTGTGCCATTAAGGGTGGAAGTGAGTGGCAGAAGAGACTCATAGGGGCTGGAACTTTCCATTAGAACTTGTATTAGTCAATATTCTGTATGAAAAAAATGTGATCACCAGCCCTATAGCTTACTAAATACTGTAGTTCCACATTGCAAGCACATGCACCATGGTTATTACCTTGTACTCGAAGCATGAGACACAGAGGTAGAGAAGATCCAGCAGACGGTTGAGGTGAGAAACTGACAAATCTGTGAACCATTTCTGTAACACCAGTTCGTCAGCGTTTTTCAGTACCCACAGCAAACAGATAAGAAGGCTGCGACTTGACTCAGCCGAGAAGCTTCCGTGTTGACGATTTGCCTGAAAATATGGTGAAAAAAACACAATAATCAGCTTTAAAATACATAAAAATGTGTACATCTATGCTTAAACTTCAGGTGGAAAAATATTTATTTTTTTGTAACATCAACCACTATAAGTAACATACTATGCTTGAAATATTCATAAAAAATACTTTT